GGAGTCTCACATGTCCATGTGCCTTAGGAGGGATGCAGGATGCTGTTGGGAGTCTCACAAGTACCAAGCCTAAGAACTGCAATGCTTGTCTGCTGTGGAGAGGGCGTTTTTTAGAAGAGAGAAACCTTGGAGGTTGGTCCTTTGCAGAGAACACGAGTGCAAGCGTGTGAGAGCCTTCACACACACTTGAAAACATTAGATGATTCACTAGAACACTCTTGGACTATTCCATGTTTGGGGGAGGAAAATCATGCTATCCTGGAGTATTTAGCTCTGCCCAATTCAAAGAATTGTTCAGAGGTCACATTTCGATTCCATGAATCGAACTTAGGTACTGAGTCCTTATAGAGTGATGATTATAATGAGATTGGGATTCAGATGAAACATCCCTGCCAGAGACCAGAACACCAGGGAAGGATCTCAAGGACTTTCTGAGAAATGAATGAGCGATTCTCAAAACCCTCCAGTGCACGGGAAGTAGGCTCTAAAGCTGAACGGGGCTGGGGGGGGGGCGGGGGGTTGTGTTGGCTAATCTCCAAAGGAGCAGTCTCTGTATGAGAACAGCCTTAGGGCTGTAAACATCTCAGGGAGAAAGCTATGGTGGGCATTTACTGGCATTCAGACCAATGGGAAAGGCTTCGCCATTTCCTTGAGCCTAGCCCAGGAAGGCTCTGCCATTTCCCCATGGGTCTGAGGCTTTGGTCGTGACATGGCTGTGCCCATGTCAACAATACACATTCAGTCAGGACTTCACTCATTTAGGCTTCCTCTGTTGTCCACAGTCTCACATATATATTTCAAAAACTACGTTTGATGGCCACCTGCTCCAACTCCTATAGAAACCTGAAGTTAAACTAAATCTGAAGGCCAGGATTATTTCTCTTTAAATATGATGTCAAGCAGGCTTCACATAGGCTTTTGTATTTAGGGGCTGAGGGAGAGAGAGAGAGACAGACAGACAGACAGACAGACAGACAGACAGACAGACATAGACATAAAGTCTACTCCACTGTGCAGAGAGAAAGTAACTTCAGGCCCATGACCTCTCGCCACAATCCGTAGCACGAAGCTTGCTTCCACGAGATCCATGTTTTGGGGCTGTGGGGTAGGAGGGGGGGTGTCTTTCTTTACAGTTCTGAACTCCGGGTCCTCCTGCCTTAGCCTGCCCGGTGCCAGGATTATAGGTATGTGCCACCATGCTTGACTAAGATCTTTCTTGACAAAGGGACAAGTTAACATCAGTAACCGCATTGGGTGGATAGCATGGCCTGAATCATGTTATGAATGCTTGGCCCTCAGCTTGTAGCATGACTTTGAAGGCTGTGGAACCTGTAGGTGGTGTGGCCTATCTGGCAGACATAGGCCACTAGGGCCAGGCCCCTGAGGGTTAACCTGTCCCTGGTTCACATCTGTCCTCCCTACTCCCTGTCCCACTGACATGGAAAGATCAGAGCTGCCCGGCTGTGTCCTCCCCACTGTGATGGACTTAAATCTCCCCGAAACCACGATAAATCCTTCCTTCCTGAAGTTGCTCCTGCCAGACATTCTACCAGAGGAACAAGAAGAGAAACATCTACCCTGCGGGTCCCACAGCCTTTGCCAACTGCTCAGAACTGAATAGTGAGCTCAGTGGGCCCTAGGTGCAGCCCAGTGATACAAAACTCTTATCCATATGGAGTACTCAGGTCTACATTTATCTGTCTGTTTTATTTATTTTTGAGGCAGCGTCTTGCTGTGTAGCCCATACTGGCTTGCAATTCACCATGCAGCCGGTGCAGGCCTCTGGCTCATGATCCTCCTGCCTCAGCCTTTTAGAAGTCTTTTTCCTCTGCAAGCATTTGAGGGTCTGAGTGTTATCCTGGGCCTTCAAGTTATCAGTTATCTAATTCCACTGAAATGCTCCTGTGCGGGATCTTTGTAGAAGATGGGATCCAAAGGGGCCAGCACAGGCCACCCTCACACTGCCGATTTCCCCCACAGTAATGGGGCCAAGTCAGCCGGCGATATGAGCCCCTCCCACAGCGTCTTTGAGCTGCAGGGTCGGTGAGCAAGCGGACCAAAGCAGAGCAGGTGAAACTGCGCCTTCCGTCCCCTGTCAACAGAACGAGGTCTTTAGAGTCTTCTGTCCTCCTCGAATCCACTTCCTCTTTTCCTTTTCTCTGTTCTTCTATTTTCTGTCCTTCCCATCATTTTGTTAATGCTTCCCCCTTTAAGGGGAAAAAGAAAGAAGAGCGTTAGGTCCCCTTGGGGGCTGTTTTGTGACAGGGCTTGGCTTCCTGTGCTCTCACCCTGCAC